TTAAGTCTCATCCTTTTACTGTGATTGTTCCTCTAAAAATTCTTATTCGTATAGTTTTTTTCTTCAAACACCAGTTCTTTGGAATTTGCTCCCTTAATCTTGTTTATCTGATTAATGTAATTTACAATCTTTTAAATTGTCCATTAATTGCTATCTATCTTTATAAAATTCATATTTTCTTTTCCAGTATTTTCCCCCTCTAATAGTGGCTGCTTGCAGTCTTGTTGGAAGTGAAGAAGTTTAAAAAAAAAAGTGGTACAGTGGAACACTAGAAAGCTTGCACAGAGATATGAGTAATAATATTTTATCTCTACAAGCAATTTAAAAGTAATGCAAAAAAAGCATTGAATGTGTACATTTTATTTATAAGTCATTAATGAGAAGAAGATTTACACTTTTAAAAGAATGATTTACACGTAGTTTAGGGGTGTCCACTATACAAAAAATTTTCAAAACCACCCAAATTGAATTTTTTCCTATTCTAGTGTTTGTGTACAGTGTAAAAAAAATGTGTTACTAAATTTTAATGACTATTCTAGAGCCCCCTCAAAGCCCCTAAAGATAAGCCCCAATTTCCTGTTTAACCCATTAGTGCCTGAGTTTTTTGTTACAATTTACGATTTATAGAGCGCCCCATTTTTGGGGACGCTAGGCACGAATGGGTTAAAACAGTAGCACATTTTTGCATTGATTACAAATTTCATAAACAAGCAAATTAATATTATGATATTGACACAATTTAATATGTAATATTGACTGTTGTAATTATTTTGTTGTTTCCTGTTTTAGTTAAATAAATTAAAACTGAAATGATGACAAGAAGTGGTAAAGTTGTAGAAATTGAACTCAAGTCTTTGCCAACCAGTTCCAGTTGTTTGTCAGACAAAACCAACCAGCCTTCACCGTTATCATCATCATCAACAACAAGGCCTGTTACTCGTGCCTCTACTAAGTTTTGGTTAATTGGACACCCATCACCATCAATAACTGGTTCCAAACTACCCAATTGCAGACAGGTTTTGAAATTTTTTCTTTTTTCACGACGCAATGAAAAAAATGTCCGAAATCATGTAACAAATCAAGAAATTGGCTATATAGTAATCGACGCTGTTGAAACTTTCTGGAACATGGCACGCATCAAGACAAAGACAAGACAAAATTCGGTGTTAGATCATATGTGTCTCTGGAATGAGTGGCACCGCTTGTTGAAGAACAAGAATCGTGAAAGTGATGGCAGAAAACGTGTTAACTTCTTGGCCAAGTTGGATAGTCTTTTTGCTATACAGGAAATCATGAAATCCAGGCTACTGACTGCCTAAAAGAAAGATGATGATGTTGCATTATATTTAGATCAAAAAAAGACAGAAAGGCGACCATGGACGGGCATGACAAAATCTTTGAGATATAATCAGAAAATCATACTTAGAGATGAAGAAAAAGAAAGAGTAGAAAAAGAAGGTAGACAGGATGATCAGGATGATGAGGACATGGAAGTTAATGACGAAGAACAGAATATTAATGAAAATATTGCTGTTGCTGAAGTAGATATTGGTTTAGGGTGGGACTTGAATTATGAACCTCCAATGAATAGACAATCAGAATTTGTTACTCTTCACCTCCCCAAAAGAATTATGCAATGCGAGGAAATCACTTCTGCAGCAGACAGGCTGAAATTGTCTGATAATAAAAAAACTATGATTGTGTCTGCTGTAATTAAAGCTGCTGATGGAAACTTGGACGATTTTGATATCTCCAGATCGACATCTCGTCGAACTAGAATGATAAATCGACAGAGGATTGCTGAGAGTGTTATAGATAATGTGAGGCTCAACCCACCCCAGTTTGGTGCCCTTCACTGGAACAGAAAATTGCTAAAAGAAATACTAGACGTACAACATGAACAGTTAGCTGTGCTTGTGTTGGGTGCTCCAAAATACAGTGAGGGAAAATTACTTGGTGCTCCCGTTCTCGTTGATTCGAAAGGACAGACTCAAGCAAATGCAACATTGGATCTCCTAGAAGCTTGGGATCTAAGCAACAATGTTGTGGCATTGGTATTTGATACCACTGCCAGTAATAGTGGCATCCACAATGGTGCTGCTAAATTGATTGAAGAAAACTTAGGTCGAAAACTTCTCTATCTTGCCTGTCGACATCACATTTTTGAAATCTTTGTCGGAACATGTTAGAAGAAATTATTTGGAAACAATTTTGGTCCAGAGAATAAACCAGGTTGCAAAACCTGGTTGCTAACGAAGATGCTACAACATTTCCAAGAGATGACTATCGTGAATGTGCTGAGAACACACTGATCATCTTTGGGCAAACTCCACCGGTGGATGGCATATAACATTTATGTGAACAAAATGTTCATGTTTTCTAAACAATTGCCTTATGATCAGAGGATGACGACCAAACTTTTTAGAATGAACAGATATCTTTCTCTTTTCCACACACCAGCTTGGACAAAAGCTAGCATTGGTGCTGATGCATATATGAATGACCTGCAATTCATCCACGACATGATGGACTACAAATGAAATAGACAAGGAAGTTGCTAATGTTATTCTTTCTAAAATAACCAATCAGCGATGGTATTTGACAGAAGAGGTAGTTCCATTTGCTTTCTTCAGCAAACATGTTAGTTCCACTGTGAAAAAAGATATGGCAGCCAAACTCTTGGAAATTCCAGTACCCAAAAATTTTCGTCTTGGTAAGCCAGTTTTTCGTCAAATCACTCGTCAAACAGGTTTGTCAAATCTTCTGGGACCTAAATCTCACTAATTGTTCAGCATTCTTGGCATCAATACAGATTGGCTTGCTAAACCAATTGAACAGTGGACAGAGCAACCAGGATACAAAGAAGCTGAAAAATTTGTTCATACGGTAAAAGTTGTAAATGGTACCGCAGAAATAGGAGTTAAACTGATTTTAGAATTTGCCACCATCATAACCAGTGATCCAGAAAAAAGAGAATGGTTGCTGCAGGGCGTTGAAAATCACAGGCAGCAATATCCTGATTTTGGCAAAAAAACTCTTATACAATGAAACAACATTAATAACATTCAGAAAGACAGTCTTAATTTTAGTTTTGGGGTTCCCTTCTGATACTTTGACTATAACTGTTAACCAAAAATGCAGAACTAGCTTGGTTAAACTGGATAATTTAACATATATTATGCAAGCTACTTTTGTTTGGCTTGATTTCTGTGATTTAATTTCTAAATACTTGAAAAATGAGATTCACAATAATTATTTCTCTGTGTTTTAACTAAAAAAGATATTGTTTTAAACAGGAAATTAGGGCTTGTCTTTTGGGGCTGAGGGGGCTCTAGAATAGTTATTAAAATTTGATAAAAAATTTTTTTACATTATACATAAACACTAGAATGGGAAAAAATTCAATTTGGGTGGTTTTGAAAATTTTTTGCATAGTTGACACCCCTAATGTAGTTACCATCAGTTTGTACTAGCAATGACCTAGATAGCTGCTTTAAATATCCAGTCAGATGCTGGATAACCGGATAATTGAAAATTATCCAGCTGGATATCATCTTAGATGTTTGTATTTACAGACAAATGTTTTCATTATGATACCTTCAACGCATATTTTGATATCAAATATTTTAAAACTTTGCCACAAAATTTTATAATATTTGACATCAAAATATATTCTAAAATGCAAGGTTTTGTTTGGAAACTTTTCAAAATCAATGATCCCTCTGAATCAACAACAGCTTGTATTCTGTGTAGAAATCAAAGGATCTAATAATTCTAGTCAATAATCGCTTTTTACTCCACTGCACAATCACATCAAAAAATTTCATTTAAAATTGAATGAAGAGGAAAAAATATATAAAACTTAGAAGAAAAAATTAACTTTGATTTTTTTAACTTTACAAGATTGTTCAAAAGGTAGCATGATAATTCTGAAAAAAATGTGTAAAAAAAAAAGCAAATGTCTATCGAAGTTAGACAGTTGCTTTTTCATTTCACATTTCAATTTATTTCTATTAAAACATTCATCAGAATAATATAAGACATTAATGATAAAAAGCTAATACATAAAAAAATAGCTATAATGATTGCTAAAGATTACCAACCAATTAGTATTAGTAATACTAAATGGTTGGTTATCATATACTGCTAAAAGAACTAGCCTTTAAATCATTAGAACCACCAGTATTTTCTGCACTTTCAGAGATATTGTTTTCTGAATATGAAAATATTTATGAGAAAAAGTGATTAAGGCTGTCACCTCAACGTGGAGAAATGCTATTTTTTATACATAATAATGCAAATAACTGATAAAATATGTATTTCTTGTGCACAGTTTTTTATTATTTGTTTGAACTAAAAACTTGAACAAATTTTTTTTGAATCTACTAACATTAGATAATTTAAAAAAATTAATACATTAGAATTTGTGTTTTAGGTTATTTATTCTGTTAATGACCAAATGATTTGATCAGGTTCAATACTTAAAACAAGTTCAATATTTAAAACAATTTATTAACATATCCAGCATAGTTAACCAAATTGTTTTATTATCCAGCAGGATACTGCAGGTATTCAACCAAATTGTTTTACTATCTAGGATGCCATATAATATACAAATCCAGCTGGATATCTGGCCAGATATACTATTTAGGACACTTCTAGTTTGTACCGCTTGGCCATTAAAAGGTAAAATATGTATTTAATATACATTTTATTATATCGAGCAAACATAATTTTTATTAATATACTCAAATAGATTTTTTATTTGTGTGGAATTATTGTCAAAATAATTCCACACAATAAAATTATTATTAAAAGGGTAATAGTAAATTGTAACATTTTTGCCACTTTTCCCACCTCATTTTTCAGTCAAAATTAAACTCAATTTAAATTATTGTAAATCCTAAATGGATAAGGATTTTTAAAAAAAATCTTTCCTAACTTTATACATTTTTTGAAAAACTTTTATTCTAATATAAGTTAACTAAAAATCAACTTACAAAAAAGTCAAGATTTGCACTCAGATTTTTAAATAAACCTCCAACAAGAGCAGCTAGATGAATGACATGCGTTGGTTGGTGCTTTTCAAACAATTTTTCAACTTGATCTAAACACCTAAGATGACATTTTAACATATAATAATAAGAAATATAAAATATCAGATAAAGACTATGCCCTGGAGTCACCATATATACCTAGACTAAAGACATGCAATTTTAAAAATGCTTTTTGAACTCTGTAGTTAAATTTAGTAGAGATTATATAGTAAATCATTGTTAGAACTAAGAATGAGATATTTTTTTTACAAAAAATTAGTATCTTAACACAGTGTTGAGTGCGTATTAGGGGTATGACTAAAAAGCACATAACATTTTTTCAGAAATGGCATGTCGGCAAATAATGAGATTTTACTTACATTAGGTTTAAATAATAATACTTTTTTTCAAATCAAAAAAAATTTCCCTTACCAGTGCAGATGAAAATTTGGTCCCAGATTTTAAAAATTGCAAAAAATTCAATTTTTTGCATTTATTGTAATGGAAGGGTCACTTAACAAAATTTCAAAAAAATCATGAGAGTTATTTTTGTAGCTTAATTTATCTACTTTTAGATTATGTTTTGTTTTTTGGTTAAAATGATGGGAAAAGTTGACCTTAACTATTTGCAATCATGTGTATATTTAAGAAGTGCGGGAAGGGGGGGGGCTTTTTAAAAATTTTTTCATGTACTCTAAATATAAAATATTTTTGTAATTGTACATTTTTTATTTAGAGTTTTATGGTTTTATAAGATTTTTTATCAGTTGTTTTAAATTTTAAACAATGATAAGTTACAACCATTAAGTTTGGTTCTCCGTCTACTTTTGTTTTTAAAAGTTTCAATGAGGTCTTGACTAGAATTAGAAGCACATTCTGTACTGTAATGTAATAAGTATATAATATTCAGAGTATTAACCAGGAACAAATTTGATACAGCGTTTTGATGAAATCGGGATTTTGATAAAATATTTTCCGATTAATACCACTCCCCATACACCATCACACAAACCTACCCCAACCCCCAGCCTTATCCACCCCTCCACCATTCCTGTAATTAAAATTGTTTCATGAATGCGTGGGCCCTTTTTTTATCTTCTTTCCTCTTCCACTCCACTTCAGTGCTGGATAGATTAATTAGACAGCGCCAAAAATATATAAAAAATTTATTTTTTGATACACAAACAAATCGAGAAAGCAACTAATATTTTAAATCAATAAAGCATTTCTTAAACACAACCATATTTTGATTGTTATTTATTTATAAACAAAAGAAAAAATACTTTTATAAATACTCCTAAAATAATCTTTAATATTAAATACAAATGTTAGTGAAAATAAACAACTTTAAATTATTTTTTAATAAAAAAAGGAAATAACTTTCCTAGGTGAAGAAGTCAAGTATAAAACATCCTTTAAAAAGATAAAAACTAATATAAATTCTCGCATAAGATAAAACAGTTTGCCTTATTAATTAGACACAGTATTTTGTTTTTTATATTAATTACAACTCAAAGGTAAAATAAATATTTAAATTATATTAATTATGGTTTAACTCTGATGTTAGGATTTCTTTTTTTCAGCTCCTCGACCAAACTTTCAAGAACCTTGTCTTCGAATCCTTGTTCAGGAATTTCGGTTGATATCATCAAAAGACTTTCAAGTGTACTCTGAGACAACTGGTTGCGAAGTCAATTTTTTACTAGTTTTTATTTAGAAAACAGCCTTTCTACGCAAGCAACACTTATCGGAAAAATCAACAATAAATTCAATAAAAACATGTAGTTACTATATAAATCCTGATTTAAACTAGTTCTTTTGAAACCAGTCTATAAAGATTGAGCACAGTACGACTCTCTTTTTTTCTTAAACTCTTGTCGCTGTTGTTCAGTGGATGCATTAAGTATTTCTAAATCAAAACATGTTTCCCACTCCTTTCGCATTGAAAATATTAAATATTAAAAACCCTCAAATTCGACTTTCGTTTTCTCCAGATCTACATCTCTGTCTTGTTGCACCGTTTGACTGAATTGATTACTTTCACGAAGGTTCCCATAGTGATTTAATAATGTTGACAACTCTCCTTTGCCGTAATCAATCAGATCAGCCATTTTTGTAGAAAAATTGCGAGGATCAAAAACCAATAAACATTTCCAAAATTTTCATTTGCTCAAATGCTTTTGTCAGCTCAGTTTTAAAAGAACTTAAAAATGTTAAATAAATACTTTTTTCAAAGTTTTCAAATGTTATTTTTTTCCTTGCGCAAACGACTTGATGTAGGTAGAGATGCGCAAATGTCACTGGCAGTAGATTTCATGTTTTTGTAATTTTCTAATGTAAAGAATTTCTTACTGATCCGTTTAAATTTGCATTCAAACTCAACTCTGTTTGTTCAACGTATATAGAAATATCACTCAAACAAATACTTTCTTGTGATGACTGCAGAGAAAATTCAAGAGGACCAATGGCGAAAAAAACATCTAACAACATAAGTATTGACAGTATTATTTCTTTACTTAAAGCTTGCATAAACAAACCAAGGGCTTCTGCTTCTTTTCGCTCGTTATAGCAAGTACATAAGGCAATTAAAAGTTGTTATAGTTGCCGAAAAAAGTCAAGCAGGCTCTTTGGTGAACTGTTTATCGAGTTGTACTTAGGCATATAGGCACAATGTTATCAATATCGCCATAAATATTGTCATTTTCCTGCAGCAAATTCATTGCTGTTGTTCGATATTTAAAAAATTTCCAAAGATTAAGAAGAAACACATCGGCTTCTTTTACACATTCAAAGTCAGATAGAAGATGTTTAAAGCATAATGCTAACCTGTGGCTACTACAGCCAACCCAAATTAGGTGCGAGACTGAATGTTCTAAGTATCCCTTTAAACCCCTTTCTCTCCCGAGTTCACATTGGTAGTATCCATGCATGCATAACGAGCGTTGCGCAATGGAACATCTATTGGTATAAAAAAATCTTCAACAACTTTAAATAAGTTTTTGGCAGATAAGCTTTTCCCAAATAGTTTACTTAACGATAGCAGTCCAACAAAACGTTCTTTTACTGAACCACAATGTTCAAAAGATGCATAAATAGGTAGTTGTTCAACCGATGTAATATCTGAGGTCTCATCTGAATAAAATGCATATTTTTTCCCTCGAAGTGACTCAAGCAGCGGACGCTTGACAAAGTCGCATATAATATTAATATATTTAGATATATACATGGGTGATATCATGGAAGTATAAAACAGATGGAAGTTCAACCGCTTTGAAATTCTTCGGGACTATGCTTGTAACCTTTTGCTTCGTAAACAATAAGAAAACGACATCAAGACTGTACTTCAACGCTTAATCTTTATACGTTGACGCAAATAGATACGTTTATAATAGTTTAAAAATATAGTGTTTTGAAGGTTCGCCAATAATATTCAAGAAAAACATTAAAAATGGCGCAACGTAACGGCAAACAACAATTTTTATATAAACTTTATATTAAATGAATGGAGTACTACAAGAATGAATGGAGTTATGATATACATCTAATAAAAGTTTAAACTTAAGTTATTTAAAAAAAAATTTTTTTGATTTTTTAAAAATTGTTTTAGTTGTCTTTTTTATCAAATGTCGTGTTATGACTTGAAGCAAGAAAAGAAGCTTAAACTCACATATGCTTTTAAAATCAAGTGGTTCTATTTAATTACCGAGTTTTAATAAACCTTTTGTTGAATAATTGCAATTACTAATGGTTAAAAATTTGCAGCATATCCCTAGAATGATTCATTTTTTAATGTTTTAATAAAGATCATTTCAGTGAATTTTGTTGTTTTTTTATCCAGTGAAACTTGTTTTTTTTTTATTGTCGGTTACAAGCATACTCCCGAGACGACTTGAAATTGCTTTGATGTTTGCGGCTCGATGAACTTCCATCTGTTTTATACTTCCATGGTGATATATAGGTAGCATTTCCAGGTGCAAGTAGTAGATAAGATTGTACATCTTTTCCCCCACATTGCGTAATAAGCTCTATTAATTCTTTAAAGTTATGAGTATGAGCCCAATTCTTCATGATAAGTGAATGAATAATGCAAAAAAAAGACAGAGCAAATCTTGTTTTTGAATCTTAAACATTTTCTTGTGCAAGATTATTTTCACGAATCATTTTCCAAACATCTGTGTCACTTTTACTCAACTCTTGGAATGTTTGTTTGTTTTTTTATTGAATTTTTATGTCCAACCGATGATAAATGGGCAGATGAACATTCAACAGGATGATCTGCAAACATTACTAGCTTTTCAATAAAAGCCCTTGAACCACTATGAGCGGCAAATGATGTGCACATTTTACAAAACCAACCATTTAACGCAGACGAAAAATAAAAATTGGTAAATAGTCACTCATACTTTTGACTTCAAACATAAATCAAGTTTTGGTTTCTTAGTTAACGATTCATTTTTTGTAACATCAGGATCTACCTGGAGTTTATAATAAAAAGAAAATATGATTTGGGAATCTTCAATTTTTACTATTTACGAGTCGTCTAAAAAAAGCCTTGTTACGCTGAATTTACCTAATAGCTAGAAGTAGGAGATTAATGGTTCTTGTGTGCATAGATTTTTAAAGTAACATAGCCATTTATGAAAGCCTCCTCGGAAGAGAGCCAATGATCTTCTACTTATTATTATTTAAATATATATGTTCTTTGTGGACAAATCCTTACACTATAATGTAATAGATTGTGTCATCAAAAGAAATGTTTTAATAATAGAAAAATAGAAAAAGTTACAAAAATATTAAACACGAGCTAGTAAATTTAAAATTAATTCACATAACTCACATTTATTGCGAGTTCAATTTTATAAATAGTGTTATACATAAATGGCATAGCAAAACAAAGTCTCACCAAAAACAATAACAAATGTTTAATTACAAAAGAATGTTGATTGCCAGCAATTGCATTCTAT